TATATATATATATATATATATATATATATATATATATATATATATATATATATATATATATAAATAAAAGTGTGTGTGTGTATACCTTGCATCTGAATCCTACTCATTCTATGAAGGCTGTGTGTGTGTGTGTGTGTGTGTGTGTGTGTGTACAGTACATCTGAATCCTCCTCATTCTGTGAAGGCTATGTGTGTGTGTGTGTGTGTGTGTATACCATGCATCTGAATCCTACTCATTCTGTGAAGGCTGTGTGTGTCTGTGTGTGTGAGTGAGTGTGTGTGTGTGCAGTACATCTGAATCCTCCTCATTCTGTGAAGGCTGTGTGTGTCTGTGTACAGTACATCTGAATCCTCCTCATTCTGTGAAGGCTGTGTGTGTGTGTGTGTGTGTGTATACCTTGCATCTGAATCCTACTCATTCTATGAAGGCTGTGTGTGTCTGTGTGTGTGTGTACAGTACATCTGAATCCTCCTCATTCTGTGAAGGCTATGTGTGTGTGTGTGTATATACCATGCATCTGAATCCTACTCATTCTGTGAAGGCTGTGTGTGTGTGTGTGTGTGTGTGTGTGTGTGTGTATACCGTGCATCTGAATCCTCCTCATTCTGTGAAGGCTGTGCGTGTGTGTGTACAGTACATCTGAATCCTCCTCATTCTGTGAAGGATGTGTGTGTCTGTGTGTGTGTGTGTATACCATGCATCTGAATCCTACTCATTCTATGAAGGCTGTGTATAGGGGATACGCATGCAGATCAGAGGGTCAACAAGCAGCAGGAAGACCATACAGAGCAGCAATGAGCCTGATGATGATGGTCACCTGGAGGAGACAGTATGACAAGAAGCGATTACTCTGTTGTACTCAGCATCATGCGATCACAGAGATCCAGTGCAGGATCTCTCTGATTTTAAGAAGTACCAAATCTACAGTAAGACAGTATGCACAGAGAGTGGGAGGGGTCCAACACAGAGAGTGGGAGGGGTCTAACACACAGAGCGGGAGGATCCTACACACAGAGAGTGGGACAGACTCACATGAAGTGGGAGGATCCTACACAGAGAGTGGGAGGGGTCCAACACAGAGAGTGGGAGGGGTCTAACACACAGAGCGGGAGGATCCTACACACAGAGAGTGGGACGGACTCACATGGAGTGGGAGGATCCTGTACAAAGAGTGGGAGGGATTCTACACCCAGAGTGGGAGGATCCCACACACACAGAGTGGGACAACTTACACAGAGTGGGAGGATCCTGCACAGAGAGTGGGAGAGACTCACATGGAATGGAAGGATCCTGCACAGAGAGTGGGAGAGACTCACATGGAATAGGAGGATCCTACACAGAGAGTGGGAGAGACTCACATGGAATGGAAGGATCCT